CCTATGTAAGGCAGTAATTAATTCTTTATGTTATTGTCATTAAGTGTGTAATGAGTCACAAAACAAATAATCAAAACATTTCAGAGGTGGGGGCGCCAAAAGTGTCCCCCGAGTGCTGAGAACCGTTGCAACGCCACTGGTTGTTTGCAGATGATATTTGGTTAATTAATTTAGCACATTTAAACTTTTTGGTTAGCTGGGACGACACCAGGCAGAAATACCTTTTATTGTTATTAGAGCATTGATTATTGTTATAGCTTTCTGGGGAAACTAAACTTCTAGTAATGAGACAAGTATGATTTTAAGTTGTATATTTAGAAATGTTAGAAACAAATTGAAGGATGTTATAATATCATCCTATAAGTCGCTAGTTACAACTCATTTGAAATATTACACATATTCAATTTTGGTAAACCGCACTACTATTATGTCTGTCGTATCCCAGCTGGTCTGATAAGCCCTGTTATTGGGTGAAAGGCCCCGTAAACATTGGTTATAACAGATTTACTTTTATTTAGTGTGGTTGACATATTAAAACATGCTCTATCTTGCTTTCACTCATGGGTTTTAGAATTTTTTTTAGAAGAGATATTGAGACGTTGGAGAAGATTCAGAAGAGTTGACAGATTTGGAGGAGTTATATAATGGGGAAGAGAGGAATATCTTGATAAGTTTTCACTTGAGACGAGAACTCGAAGTTTGAAAACCGTTAGAGGTTTGGAATCCACAAATCTAGGTTACGTTTAAAATAAATACAAATAAAAAGTATATCAAAACAAAAAACTCTGCAGTTAGTAAAATTAGAAAACTAAAGTTTAAAATATTGAAAACTCAAAAACAACTTCGCTGACGACAGTGTTATTTTTCCAAAAGAGTGTTTGGCCTGTGGATTAAGAGGAGATTAGATATATTTTTAGAGATCAGGACTAAATATAACAAATCGAGTTTCTGTATTTAGTTTGTAGTCGGCTGAAAAGTTAGAAGGGTCAAGTTGTTCCTTTAAAAGTAAAACAAGGTATCTGAGATTAATTATATCTCTTTCTATATATTTTATTATATACAAACATCAATTACAAGCATTCAGAGGCTTGAACTAATAGTGATTATAATATACAAACTGTTCGAACACGCGTCAGAAATACGTTTGTTAACACTTTAGACACTCCTTAAAATAGTTAAGAAAAAAAAAAGAGAAAGAAAATGTAGAGAACATTTGGCGACAATTTAATGATTTTCAAGTCAATTTTTATTAGCTTTTATTAATAATTCAATATTACATGATAGTTAACTTTCAGTATTTGGTTTCCACCAATATTCAAGAGAATTATGCAAATGAAAGCCAAACAGATTTAAAACATCAGTTTTGAGATTTCAATCAGTCAGGTTGTTTAAAAATCAAAGACCAACACAATACGCGTTAAATTAATCAGAAACCTATTTCTATAGATCGTTTGGATCAACCAATGCTTCACTCATCATAGAATATGTATTTAATACCAGAAAATTTCCCGCGGAGTGAAAGCGCGATAGCTTAATAATTTCGACACAAACAAATTATCTTTATCAACGGTATCAAATAGTCAGGATCAGAGTAAGTCAGATTTGTCAAACTAAGTCAGCTGGTGCACATACCTTTTGATTTTCAAGATGATCCTGAGGAAAAGAGTACCCAATAGTATCACTCGACGACCGTAAATAACCTGACAAATTATCATTAAACCTGACAAAAAATTTAAAATCGTAATATTATGAATTTAGCACAACGAAATAAATTCAAAATCTGAAACGCTCATTGCCACCATTTTTCTCAACCCAAAAGTTCTATACTTCTTCTTCACCACCACCTGCTTCTCAGCCATCTTCAGCTATTCAGAACTGCAGAAATCAATTACACGTTAGTCTATACCATTTTGAGTTTGCACGGAAATTTAATTTATCTGACGTTCTGAAGTTTGTGAAACTAAGGAATGTTCCTTCTGGTAATAAGGGTGACTTTAAATACGAAAACAACTAGAGAGGAAGTCAATCTTACCCAAACAGTCTTCTCAAGAAGTATAATATCATATAGTTTCCAATATAATCAAATTCACAAAGAGCCATAATTATTTTCGGTTATAACAATAAACTTATTTCAGATAGAAAATTATCTTTCATATGTCTTTTAAAAGATTCAAGTGTTTTAATGTGCACCAAGTCAAGACTATTATAAATCTAACATTAATCGATCAAACTCGTAGAATCGATTGACGAAACGTTTAAGAATGGAACTCATCAAAACAGTCAAATATTCCCTTCCCCAAGACAATTTTTTCACTCTGTCACGTAGACAATTCTAATATAGCAAAGAAAGATAAACTGACAACAAAGGTAGATATGAGAAAATGTCATGCAACTTCTTCCGGTATACAGGTTACCCACAACAACACACTGGAACATCAAAAGTCTTGGAACCTTGCATCTTAACTTCTAATGAAGATACCGCTTTAAAATAAGTATATTGAGTTACTACAGCATTTGAAACTCTCCATAGTATCTTCTAGTAAAGTTATCTTAACTAACTCACTGGAAAATCTAAAAACCTCCGAACCACCTTAAAAAATAGGATACCATACTCCTAACATCATGTAACAAAGATACTTTCACAAAATTGACCGAAAATTTAAAATCTTCACTCCCAATTTTTAATGTTGAAATCGTAATGAAAGTATCGCAGCATTTAATAAACTCATCTGAACACATCTTCCACGCTACCTGCTAATCATTGTTCTCCAGCTTCATGCTCTTTCCAATCTTTCTCTACTATTTGATATAAAACAATAACTAATAGACGTAGACTAGTAATCAAGAACTTTGACATTAATGCTATTCAAACGAATAACGTAAGCATAAAAAGGTCTAATTTACAGTCGATGTGCGATAATTTTTGCTTTGTAAATATCAGCTATATAAAAGTTATAACACTGATATGTGGCATAAATGTAGATTACATATATAATGAAATTCATGTGAGGAATACGTGAATTGAACTTAGATTCTTAAATTGAAACTACTGCAGGCTTTTTTGTAGTTTTTATTGCTTATTCAACAATTCTACCTAATTCAATTTATCGAGTAATGTCATATGTAGAGAGGACTGGATTAAAGATTTGGGGACTTGAACCAAATTTTGTAGGGGTTTTCGGTACTGAGCTTCATAAATCTGTTTTAAGTCACGTGCTCAACGTGTTACTCCCTTTAGCAAGACTCGATCTAAAGAGTATCCACTGTTTCATATGACTATATAATTGTATTCAACATTACAATGAGTGCGAGGTTGTTTTACAACTACATGCCCCAAGGAATTGGTGGAATAGTGAACACCAAGTTATACATTATGTTGTCCATTTTAAAGAACAAACTTTAAGAATATTATGCAAACTCCCAGCTGAGAGCTTTAACAAATATGAAGCATTAGTAACTGCATTATCAAACAAGTTTGGAGGGACAAATCAAAAGGAAGTATTTAAGCAAAGTGCCAGAACAGGACGCAGAGTTACGAAGATATCTTGTTCAAAATGACGGAAAGTTTGTAAAAGCTTGACCAATTATTTTACCCAGATAATCAACATGAAATGATCGATTCAATGGCACATAATCAATTTACAGATAACATAACAGAGGATAACTAGGCTGATAAAAAGTAGGCGATTGAGCTTGAACTCATGAAAGTCGCAGATATACAACTGATGGCACCATCTAGAAGTTATTGGATCACTGGATCAAACAGCATCAAAAACATCAACTACCTCTAACAATAGTCTAGAACTGAAAGTAGTAGTTAAACAACTAATTACACAAGATGGAGGAAATAATCAACAAGACAATAGATGTTTCAAGTGTAACATGGAGGAAAATACTGCCCAGAAATCCAGGCAAAAGCTTATAAGAATAAAAACTCCCCACTCTCAAA